TTTTTTTTATTTTTTTTATTAATAATTTTATGCGGGAAAGGGGTCCAAAAGGGGTTTTTTTTTTTTTTTTTTTTTTTTTTTTTTTTTTAGAATATATTTACAAAAAATGTTTCATCTTGAATGCAACATGTACATTTTTTTTGTACAGTTTTGGCTTAAATTTTGCTCTGACTGTTCTTCTTTCAACAAATGACACTTTTTAAGAGTCTTTACACTCCAGTTAAGGATTAACCAATTATTAAATTAGTGGACGATTATTTAAATAATCGATTAATCGAGATTTGTTCGATTAATCATGATTTGTTTGATTAATCGCTACTAATCCTTTCTTTCCTATAACATTTTCAGATTAAAACAAAAGCATTTTGGGGTTTATGAAAAATAGTGATTCTAAATCTGCCACGACATAAAAATAAGACAAATATTGCTGCAAAAATAATGCTTGCAATTTATCAAAGCGGCTACTTCACTACTTTAATCGTTTCTTCTGAAGAGCAGGAATGTTCTGGTAGCTTCTGTGAAGCCCGCCGACGTTTCAAAATGCTACGGTTTCAAAAAACGTCCCGAAGGATTTTCTTGGCTGTACGAAGCATAGCTCGGTGTTGCCGCTCCCCAGCTGAACAGACGTGTTTGTCTTTTTGGAAATACTTTGCAAAAACAGAAAACTAAAGTAGCATCAACTAGATTGATTTAAAATAAGGCATCCATGTTTTTAAAACGTTTGGCTCATCTGTTAAGCAGCAGAATGCAGGCTAGCACCGGAGCAGATATCCAAATGAATTGTGTAAATACTTGAATCTGTGGTGTTTATACTCAAGTTGATCATATTTTGTGGATCTCATAAACAAACCCAACATGCTCCAAGACCCAGAAGTCTAAATGCTAAAAGGATAATATAGAGCAGTTCAGCTTCTACTTTTCACTTCATTTGTCTCCTAAAAAATGTGGATTTAAAACCGTTTCTGCTTCTCAAAATTATTTTTTGTGAAACATGCTGGACTAACGTTTATTAGTTTTGTTTTCTGTAATAATCAGGATGTAACTTTTGCAGATAATTTTACTCAATCTTCAGAGAATCAAATATATTCCCCTTCTTTTCCCCCCACAGCTCCATCAACAAAGACCAGTTCCAGAAAAAGAAGAACGACACGCTCGACCCTGAGCTGTAAGTGTTCCTCCTCCTCTAGTGTCGTTATTTGACTCTGCGCAGTGTGAACGTCCAGCGGGCCTCCGCTCCGGAGCGTCTCAATATACATTTCCTGACTCTGGTTTTGTCTCTGCTCAGCCTCGTGGAATGTATTGACTGCGGTCGTAAAATGCACCAGATCTGCGTTCTGCATAATGAAACCATATGGCCGTCAGGGTAAGGAGGCCGTCGTGAACAGCACACACACTCTGTTGCTCAAAGTGTGTCTTGGTTCTTCAGAAGTCCTTTAAAAATAGTCGGGGAGGGGGGAAGGCTTTGAAATATTTATTAAAGAGCAGTGATCCCTTAAAGTTAAACTCCCCTTCCTGTGCGGTCTGTTTGTCACCTAAGCATGGGAGCAGTTTTCCAGTGTCAAGAGCTGATTTATTCATTTATTTTGGTTCGCAGCTTCGTATGCGGCAACTGCCTGAAAAAGGCCAATAAGACGCGAAAGGAGAACAAATATGCAGCCAAAAGTAAGTGAAGCTGTACAAGCGAACGTTCTGCTTTCGTTGCGTACGTCGCCGACACTCTGGACCCTTAATGAGGGGAGTTTTTATTTTTCCATCTCATTCGTTTGTTTCGTTGCAGGACTTCCGCAGACGAAGCTGGGGAACTACCTGGAGATGCGAGTGAACGACTACCTCAAGCGGCAGAGCCACCCCGAGTCCGGAGAGGTCACCGTCCGGGTGGTCCACGTCTCAGACAAGGTGGTTGAGGTCAAGCCGGGCATGAAGTCCAGGTGAGCGCTCGGCAGGTTTCTTTCTCCGTAAGCTTGGATTATGTGCGAGTTTTTGACAAATAAGCAAGCAAAATGTTTTTTTGTTTTGTTTTTTCAAAATTGTTGTATCGGCCCATGAAGGTTTATTTTTTGTTAGTGTGACTCTTTAACTTTCCAAAAGTACTTTTCATTTGGATTTTATATTGAAATTACATTTATTTTTTCCCCTCAGTTTGCTTCATCAGTGCTAGAAATTATCCTGTGGTGTGACATGAAAGCTGTTTTGTTTTAAATAAAAATGTTTTACATTAACATTTTATCATAACTCCCTTTATACATATCTGTTTTTGTAACAGTGTGGTACAATTTGATAATGTTTTCTAATTAATCATACAAAGAACACCTAATCGTACAAGATATTTCATATTATGTCAATAAGACCCTTGCTGATGATAATTTCCTTGATAGTTCTCTTGAAATTTACCTCATTTTATACTAACAAAGGTGTTTGTTTATCAAAATTATGAACGTCACACCAAGTGATGTATGTCGCGCTATATGACAAACGGCAGCCATATATATATTTCAAGTTATTCTGATCTTTTCTTGACTTTCCCGGCCGTTTTCTTCCAGGTTCGTGGACAACGGCGAGATGGCCGAGTCGTTCCCATACAGGATGAAGGCCCTGTTCGCCTTCGAGGACATCGACGGAGCCGACGTGTGTTTCTTCGGCATGCACGTCCAAGAGTACGGCTCCGACTGCCCACCGCCCAACCAGAGACGGGTGTACATCTCGTACCTGGACAGCGTGCACTTTTTTAAACCGCGACACCTGAGGACCGCCGTCTACCACGAGATCCTGCTGGGCTACCTGGAGTACGTCAAGAGACTCGGGTAAGACGGCAAAGGGTGCTTGGGAAAAACGTAAAAGGTAAAAGGCGGGTTTTGATATGCAGAGATTAAACGCAAAACTGTTTTGCGATCTCAGGTATACGACGGGACACATTTGGGCGTGTCCTCCCAGCGAGGGAGACGACTACATCTTCCACTGTCACCCGCCGGACCAGAAGATCCCGAAGCCCAAACGGCTGCAGGAGTGGTACAAGAAGATGCTGGACAAGGCTGTCGCTGAGCGAATCGTCCACGACTATAAGGTGACGCCTTCGATCGGGAATACGGCTCCGCTTTGTTTTCAGGGTAGATTTTAAAGAAACCAAACTTGGTAAAAGTTTTTAATTTTTGACGTTTCGTCACGTCACAACATCAAAAGTCACAAATCTGAATAAGCCTCTGACTGAAGATTGTTGCTGTGTGTCTCGTGGCTGTCATAACATGCTAACATCAATTCAGTGGAGATGACTGCTGATCCACCTCGTTTGCTTTTGCTGCTCCTTTTTCATTCCATCTGTTTTTTTTATTTATTTGGGAACTTTTAGGACATTTTCAAGCAGGCGACAGAAGACCGCCTGACGAGTGCCAAGGAGCTGCCGTACTTCGAGGGCGACTTCTGGCCCAACGTGCTGGAGGAGAGCATCAAGGAGCTGGAGCAGGAGGAGGAGGAGAGGAAGAGGGAGGAGAGCAGCACCTCCAACGAGAGCACCGACGTGAGTCAGAACAAGAATCCGCTGCGGTCTCGTCTCGCTGCCGCCTCGGGACGGCTATTGACTCCGTCTTCGTTTAAACGTCCACAGGCCACAAAAGGAGACAGCAAGAACGCCAAAAAGAAGAACAATAAAAAGGCGAACAAGAACAAGAGCAGCCTGAGTCGAGCCAACAAGAAGAAGCCGGGGATGCCCAGCGTTTCCAACGACCTTTCCCAGAAACTCTACGCCACCATGGAGAAACACAAAGAGGTATGTCTTTTCTTTTTCTTTTTTATCACACCCATAAACTTTAGTGTGTTCTATATAAAAGTTTGAAACGTTGAAAAAAGTAAGGCCGTTTTCAGGAAATGTTCCCTCAAGATTTCTCTTTTATTTTGGCAGGTTTTCTTCGTCATCCGCCTGATCGCCGGCCCCACCGCCAACTCACTGCCCCCCATCACTGACCCCGACTCCCTCATGGCCTGCGACCTGATGGACGGCCGCGACGCCTTCCTGACCCTGGCCCGCGACAAGCACTTGGAGTTCAGTTCCCTGAGGAGGTCCATGTGGAGCTCCATGTGCATGCTGGTGGAGCTCCACAACCAGAGCCAGGACCGCTTCGTCTACACCTGCAACGAGTGCAAACATCACGTGGAGACCCGCTTCCACTGCACCGTTTGTGAGGTAAGAATGTCCACGTTTCCACCAGGAAACTACAAAATATACACAGGATGTGTCTAAAATTAAGGCCTTAAAATGTCTTAAATTAGTTTAAAAGAGTTAAGTTGGCCTTAAATACATTAATCACAAGTCTTAAGTTGTGTGATGATATATTATTTAATCTCGTATATTCTATGTAGTCTATTTTTCTTGTTTAACTTTTCTGTCAGGCAAACGCTTGAGTCACTTTTTCATTGCTTTCTGTGACTCTACTAATGGTAAATAGCTGCTAATATACCATTGCTAGCTGGCAAAAGGTTTATTAGCTACATAGCTAATATATAGCTTTATTATATATAAGGTATATAGACATAGTAGCAGGAAACATTGGTTTATTTCCTTCAGTAGAAAGGAAACAAACTTTTCTAGCTAGCTTGCTTGCTTTTTTGTGTTTGTTATGGTTTAAGAGCAATTTTATTGCCAGTTGGCTGGACGACATTTGTCTTCGCCACGGGATCATTTTTATTTCCAACTCATACAATGCTGCATTCATTCTGTACAAAAGAGCCCGTCACTGAAGGGGTTAAGGCTGTTTCTTTAGTACATTTCTGTTTTGGAACAGGTCTTAAATTTAAATTATAATGGCCTTAAAAAGTCTTTAGTTTGAGTTGGTGAAACCTGCACAAACCCTGTAAATTCATTTAGCTAAATTAAGGCCTTAAATGTGTTGGCCTTGCATATGTTAATCACAGGTCTTAAATTTGATCATGAAAAAACCATTTAATCTTGTTTTTCTCACAAGACAAGCAAAAATCAGGCAAAAATTGAGTCACACACAGACGTCTTCATTACGTTCTGAGAGTCTTTTGAGGCAAACCGCCAACTAGCTGCTAATATGTCCTTCCTGGCTAATTATTTGCGTCTCACCCTACAATTTGCCCACATATGCACATCTACATGGACGAGCTCAAAATTTCACATGCACGAAATTCACTGGTGGCTCGGCAGAATTTCATTCAAGGTGGCATTAGAAAGATCTGAAAAGGTCTTAAATGTGACTTGGTGACAAGTGCAAACAACATGTTATAATAATATCTACTTTATACATTTTTTTAAGACTTTTTTTTTTTCCTTCAGGATTATGACTTGTGCATCACCTGCTACAACACTAAAGGCCACAATCACAAGATGGACAAACTGGGGCTCGGCCTGGACGACGACAGCAACAACCAGGCGGCGGCGGCCACTCAGAGTCCGGGCGACTCCCGCCGCCTCAGCATCCAGCGCTGCATCCAGTCATTGGTCCACGCGTGCCAGTGCCGCAACGCCAACTGCTCCCTCCCGTCCTGTCAGAAGATGAAGCGTGTCGTGCAGCACACCAAAGGCTGCAAGCGCAAGACCAACGGCGGCTGCCCCATCTGCAAGCAGCTGATCGCGCTGTGCTGCTACCATGCTAAGCACTGCCAGGAGAACAAATGCCCCGTCCCGTTCTGCCTGAACATCAAGCAGAAGCTCCGGCAGCAGCAGCTGCAGCACCGGCTGCAGCAGGCACAGATGTTGAGGAGGAGGATGGCCACCATGCAGCGGGTGGGCCAGCCTGCGGGGGCGCCGCCCGGGGGACCCATGGTGGGGCTGCCATCGCCGGGAGCCAACAGCGCCACGGCGCCCAGTACGCCCACGTCGGTCGGCACCCAGCCGCCGACTCCCCACACCCCGACTCAGAACATGCCCCCTGTCCAGGCGCAGGGCATGGGTCCTGGAAACGGGATGCAGCAGCAGCAAGGAGCGATGCCGACCCAACATCCACTGAACCAGTTCCAGCAGATGAGCGGCGGAGCGGCTGCAGCAGGAGGGATGATGAACTCTCCCCAGCAGCAGCAGCAGATGCTTACTCAGATGGCGCAGCAAGGCATCCCGGGGGGCAACCCCCATCCGCCGTATGCCGCCAGACCGCCAGGCTCCTCGCCCATCCACCAATCCCAGGGGAAACCATTGATGGGCTCGTCGACGCCGCCTCAGCAACCCGGTGGGGGTGTGATGCCCGGCAACGCGGCGGGGCAGCAGCCTCCTGGCCAGCCGCCCCCGTCCGGCCCCCCACCTGCAGCCGTGGAGATAGCCCTGAAGATCCAGCAGGTGGCCGACGCCCAAAGGAGGCTGGGCCTGCAGAGGCAAGCGGCGGCGGCAGCAGCAGCGACGGGCATGATGCCGTCTCACCCGCACCACCAGCCGGGTCAGCCGCCGCAGATGGCCATGGGGCACGGCGGCTCCGTGGGGATGGTCGGACCGCAGGGGATGCAGCCACAAAACCAAACGGCTGTAAGAGCCCACATGGATCAGCAGCAGGGTGCGATGCAGGGGATAATGGCCGCTGGCGGGCACATGCAGCAGCAACCCCCGCCGCAGGGTAACCTGCCACCACAGAGGATGGGTGCGCCGCTGCAGAACCCGCAGCAGCCGCAGCAGCAGTGGACCGGACCAGGGATTCCACCGCAGCAAAGGCAGGCGATGATGAACCAGATGAGCCATCAAGCCATGATGGCAGCGCAGCAGCAGCAGCAACAACAACAGCAGCAGCAGCAGCAACAACAACAGCAGCAGCAGTCGCATCAGACAGCTCAGGGGCATGCTGCCATGATGAACATAGCGCAGCAGCAGCAAGGGTCTGCTGGGGGGAACATCCCCCAAGCGGCTCTACAGGAGCTCCTCCGCACCCTGCGCTCCCCCAGCTCTCCGTTGCAGCAGCAGCAGGTCCTCAACATCCTGCGCTCCAACCCGCAGCTCATGGCTGCTTTCATCAAGCAACGAGCCTCAAAATACAAGGGCGGCCCCGGCGGAGCGGACGGCGTCCCAGGAGGGGGTCCAGGCCCCACTGGGGGGCCGGTTGGACACCCCATGCCTGGAGTCAATCCGCAGGTGAACATGAACGCTGCTAGCAGCAGCCAGCCAGGGATGCACATGGGCGGTCAGGGAGGAGCCAACATCAGCATGGCTTCCATGTCTCAGCTGCAGCAGGTGCAGCAGCAGCTGCAGCATCAGCAGCAGCAGCTGCAGCATCAGCAGCAGCAGCTGCAGCAGCAGCAGCATCAGCAGCAGCAGTTGCAGCATCAGCAGCAACAGCTGCAGCAACAGCAGCAACAGAGGCCGATGCTGAGCAGTTTGCAGCAGCAGCAAGGGGTGGGGCGAGGTATGCAAGGTCAGGGGTCGCAGATGGGAAACATCAACAATCTCCAGGTGCGAGAGTTGCTTATGAGGCGGCAGCAGCTGCAGCAGATGCAACAGCAGCAGCAACAGATGGGGATGAATCACGGTCAGTTCCAGCAGCCGCAGCCCCCCCAGGGGCAGGCATTCATGGGGCAGGGGCCCCCCGGAGGCCCCCAGGGGCCGCAGGCGCAGGGATACCCAGGGTCTGCCCAGCAGCAGGTCACGGTCGCCCTGCAGCAGAGGCTGCAGCTCCATCTGCAGCAGCAGCAGCAGCAGCAGCAGAACAGCATGGCTGCCCTCCAAAGCAGCGACGCGGGTCCAGGAGGCGGAGGCGTTGCTCAGCAACCGCCTCAAGGCACGCAGCCTCCCCAGGGCGGGCCCACCCCTCCGTCTTCCCAGACGCATTTCCAACAAACTCTGCCGCAGAGGCTGCTGCAGCAGCAGCAGCAGCAGCAGCAGCAGCAGCAGCACCACCTCGGCCCCGGCAGCTCGCCCGCCCAACACAGCAACCCCATGAGCCCCCAGCAGCCACTGCCGCCGCAGCAGATGGCACCGTCGCCGCACCCCCACCTGCAGGGCCAGGCGCTGCCGACGTCGCTCGCCAACCAGGTGCGCTCACCGCAGCCCTCGCCGCGGCCGCAGTCCCAGCCGCCTCACTCCAGCCCGTCTCCGCGCATGCAGCCTCAGCCGTCGCCGCATCACATCTCGCCGCAGGTGCAGACGGGCTCGCCGCACCCGGGCCACCTGAACCAGCACCACCCCGGGATGGTGGTTCCCCCGCAGCAGCAGCAGCAGCAGCAGCAAAGCCAGCAGCAGAACGCCATGGAGCAGTTTGGCTCCGACCAGAGCGCCATGCTCTCCCAGCTGAGCGGCATGGCCAGTCTGCACGGGCCGGCTGGCGCCGGCGGTCCCGACCCGATGGGCCAGAACATGAACCACAACTCCTTAGACCACATGTAGAGAGGCTCAGCGAATCTCTGCTCAAACTGCACTCACCAAGGACAGTATTATTATTCCTTAGCCTTTTTTTTTTTTTTTTTTACTATTATTAAAAAGTTATTTAAAATGTTTTCAATAAAGATGCATTGAACTGAACTTCCTATGGGAGATGAACAATAAATGGAGCAGTTGTTAAATGAGTTAGAATGAATTGTAACTTATTGCTGTTAATATATATTTTTGCCAACTTGAGGACAAAGGTGGGAGTATGGAGGTGATTCCCTTGTAAACAAAAGTACTTGCCTTTTTTTTAAATATGTTTTTACAATTTTAAAAGGAGGGTCAAGGATTAAAGAAGAAATTATTTTAATGCAACTATTTTGTTTAGTTTTGCGTCATTCAGTCTTTTTTTTTTGCAGAGTGATGCAACATATCTGTAAATTCACACACAAAGCATTTTTCTTTTTGTATCGTTTGGGCTTGTTTTATTTATTCAGTTTCATCAGAGGTGGGCTGCGGACGTCCTGAGACCGCTTCAGTCTATTTTTTTTTTTTGCCGTCGATGTCAGTAGTCTCTTATTTCGCTTTAGCTGTCCAGGTGGAAACGACGTCAAGCGTCCGGATCCGAGATGTCACGCTGGAAGAGACATTTTTTCTTTTAATATTTTTATTTTCCTCGCAGACGTGCAAAGCCCTCTCCCTCGAATGTGTGCCCACTCCTTCCTTTTAAAGACTTCAGATGGAGCTGCGGAGGCTTGGGGAGGGGGGGATGCATACCTTTGTGCCTGTAACGTTTTACATATGTGGGCTGGGATGTATACAAATGGGAAGGGTGGCTTCTTCTTGTTTTGTTTTTTTTTAGGATTCTACTGTTAAGTAAACAGAGGATGACGATGATCCAAATGAACTGTGTTGCACAGAAACGAGGCGAAAGCCGGCAGTCGGTTAGTCTCTTTCTTCCTCTTCCCCTTTGCTGCTTCCTTTGGACTTTTTAAATCCTCCTCTGGTGGAGGACAGGCTCCCTCCTTATAAACCGTATCCTCTTTATCTTTCTGCTCAGAACTTTGGGAGTTAATTTAATATTTTTTACTGTACAAAGGAAACAAACTGTGGACTCAAATACTGTTTTTTTTTTTTATAATAAAATGAAAATTAGCAATACAGTTCTGTCCTGCATGTTTATTATTAGCCCCAGGTATCTAAATCTTATCAGATGTTAACATATGCTCATATTCACGGCTAAGTTATTTGCTAATTTGGCGTTTTTAGCAGTGAAATATTTCAACATATAATGGAATGTGATTTTTATATAATATTTTAAATCAAAATGTTTATGTCTGGGGAGTCCAAAGTGTGGCCCACGGTCCTCAATGTGATTTTGTTCGGCCCATTACCACGTCACAAATTGTAAAAATTTGGTCAACAAAATAGAGAAAACACAATAAATTTTGACATATCTTTTTCTTTCAATAAGACAACAGTTAAAGCTCTTTTTATTATTTGGATCTTTAAATCTTTAAGCCCTAAAGGGAGTGACAACGGTCCAGAAAAATTTGCAGTACCGTAATTCCGCCACACTTTGCGCAATGTGAAAAATTTCAACAGTTTCCGTTCCGCTTTCTTGCCGATATCGGATTATTATGGTAATTTCACCGTAATAAATTGGAGGAAGTGAAATTAATCTGAGGGGCCCTCTTTTAATAGACAGTAAATTGCGAAAATAAATTAATAGATATTGAAAGTTCCAGTTCTTATGGATAAATGGGCAAATATACATTTACTCACAGGACATTTAAAGAATTGTGTACAATCAAAATAAGCAAAAATATCCAGGCGGAGATTTTAAATTTAGGACATAAAGGGTTAATGGTATATTTAATTTTATTGAGCACCATGACTAATTTTTATGGCCTGCCACTAGTTTAAATGTGACAGTTTTGTCCACCAGGGCAAAAAGCTTTGACACCCCTGTCTTTAATTTTAAATCCTGCAAGCTTCAGAGTGCATTTTTGAGGTCAAACACTGATGATGGCAGGAAAGTCTGGATGCTCCAATTCATCCAAAGGTCTTCTGTTGGGTTGAAGTCAGGACTTCAGTTATCCGTATGTGTTTGGTTCTTACTTTCTGCCGTCATGTTGGAAAAGGAAACTTCCCTAAAATGTTCCCACAAAGTTGGGAGCTTGAAATCACCTAAAACATCTTGATATCCTGTTGCATTCAAAGATCTCATTTCACTCGAGCCAAGCAAATGAACCCAAAATCCTGAAAAACAGCCATGTAATGTAATTTCCTGAGCACCAAACGCTCCACTTGTCAGGCAAGTGCCAATTCCCTGGGAACTGCCAAACCCCAACTTGTTTATTGGATTGCCTGATCGTCACGATTGTTTCATGACTGCAGAGAACACATTTCCACTGCTGCATCCAACAATTTGGATCACTCTTGGTTGCTCTGTTTCCATTACAAATGCTTCAGTATTTTGCTAATGTCGATTGTGGAATTCCTGTTTCCCTTAAATAAGAAATTAACAAAACTTGTTCATAATAAGTCATAAAAAAACAATCTTGGATCTTAAACGTAAACTCTTGCATGAAATATATTCATAATTCAGCCATCAGAGGAGAGGTCAGCTACTTATTCAGGCGTTGGAGCAACAAGCCTCTTATACTTAGGAACGGCGTTATGGGGAAATTTTAGTTATTGATTTTATAGAAGAGTAATCAGTTCAACATGTTCGAATGACACAAGCACATTGTCCGAAAAAACAAAACAAAACAACAACAACAATAACAAAAAACATCCTCCTCCTACTACTTCCTGTCGTCTTCTTGGATGTCTTGACCAGTAGAAACGTTGGGTTGTTGATCACGTGATTTCTGTGACGCAAAAAAAAGTGTTTCCGTTGACGTTTTCCGAAATAAATCTATTTCATTACGGCCGAAAAACCACCTTATTGTTGCGGAAAGTGTCTCCAATATATGTGATAAGGAGCTCAATAAATACTGTGTATGTTGTGTGTGGGTGAGGACGATGCGAGGCTAGCGGTCCTCCGGTCAGAAGTGGTCGCTGTGTGCTGTAACCCGCCTGCTTTGGAGCGACTGAGGGACGGTAGTTAGGGAAAGTCTGTTCGGCCTGTAGTTGTTAAGCCGAAGCTGTTAAATTTGTCTCTTCACCACCTTAGTGCCACTGCGTTTTATGTTATTCGCCCCTCTTACGGGCAAGTGAGGGAGTTAACCCCGAAGACGAATCCTACTTCGGCCCTGGAGGAAATATCTCCCCTGTGTTTTCGGACTACGGTCTGAAGACTGAAGCAAGAACAGTTAGCATTATCCTGGCGCTAAAAACGTTTTCCTATTTTTCGAAAAACGTAAGCTGTCTTTTTTCTTTTTAATGGCGTGTTTCTGTTGAGCTGATTTATTTTCGTAATTTTAATTTGCGCAATTTCAGGGTTAATAGAAACGCAGCTGGTCGCCATAGAGACCACGAAGCTCTCTAATTACTGTTGAGTAGAGGTTCTTCTGCACTATGTGAGTTTTAGGGCCAATAGGCCCTTTTTTTTACCCCTGTTACTGTCATTCTCAATGGCCTCCATTTTGTTATGCCATTTTGAAATATTTAGTCTTAAAGTAAATAGCATTCTGCTGTCATTGTGTCATCAACGGTCTAAAAGGGATACACCCTTTCACAAGTATTTGGAGAAGCAGTCTGAATTCAATTATTTGGAGAGGTGAACTCAACTTCAACAATGCAGAGTGTATACAGTCCTGTAAGTTTTTAAATAAATGTTATTTTGTACGTTGCAGATGAAACCACATGCCTTCCATTCAGGCCAGGAAGAGCTAAGGTCAGCTTTTTCCATTCCAACAACTGTTTTGATGTGTTTGCGTCCAAGTTTTAGCTAGCTTCCCCCCTCAGGGGAGAGAAAATTACAATTAACGATCCAGAAAATTAGGCAATTTAACAATGACAAAAACTATGCTTGAAGAAAGCTCAGTTTTACCCCAGAGTGGGCGACACTAAAGCTTGGAGTGACCACAGAGCCATAAACTCTGTGAAAGGCCAACAGAGTCACTGCTGCCTCTGGTTTCTGTTTTGCATTGGCTGAACACAAAGTTCTCAGCTAACAAGTGAGTTAGCTTCAGATGTGAGATATATAAAGTTATAGCAAATATGACTTAAAATAAATTTGACTTAGTAATTTAAAGCCTTACAATTGGGCCTTTGTCTCTAAAAACTTTTGCTCTTTCTGAAACTCCGCCTTCAGGAAGCCATCACAACACGATTCCTCTATTAACCTTTTAGCAACGTTTTTAGCAGCGTTGCACTGAGAAGTAGCTCGTATAATGAGCTCAGCTGGTGTGCTCATTATAGCTGTGCTAATTGCTGCTGGCTAGGCTGAAGGAGCTCAGTGGGGGGGAGAGCTGCTCTGTGAGGCAGAAGCTCAGAAACTGGAGCTCTTTGAAGGCAGTGCTCGGTTTCAACCAGGCGTTTCCCAGCTGAATGGTTGCCAGGGGAGACTAAATGATTTCTCAAACATACATGAAAGAATCACGACAACACACCAAGTATGTTTTTGATGAGGGAATAACATAACATGTTTTAGCGCTAAAAAAAGTCACTTTTACATATTACTGCATTACATTTTTAGTGAAACAATGCAAACATGAGGGCAGTTGCTATTTAAAAAAAATAGCGTGCTTGATTTATGGTAGAAATCAGCTTTGTTCTTAGCCCAACTATGATTAGCTTTAGCCTCCAGGTTAAGTTAATCCTACAACACAAAAATATATATGCTGTTTGGAAATGTTTTGGGTCACAAGAAATGACCTTAACTCAATATTATGTTGTACAGATCGTTGCAGATAGCCTGACTAATTTACAAGCTAATATCAGTTTGTTAGAGAGAATGGCAAAAAGGTACAATGTTCTGCTCAATAAGGAACTGAAAACTACTCCTACTAACAATCAAATCAACTAGAAGGATGCAATAAGGATATAAAGAGGAAGAAGGAATGGACAGGCACATGAAGAACATAATGACACAAGGAAAGAGACCACAGGAGGAATAAAGGATAAAAGAACAAAACAAAAAAAAGAGGGAATGGACAAAGGAAACAGGGAAAAGAATAATCAAGGGGGGGAAAACAAGGAATCAAAGAAGAAACGACACAACTTTTAGCCAGTGGAAGAAAGAGTAAAGGCTGGGGAAACAGTTTATTACTCTCTTAGTTTATTTTTCTCATCCACTTCCGAATTGCAACCAGATTCTTCGCACTTCTGTTGATATTTTTACGTCTCCGATCCGTTCGCATTGTGGATCCTCTGCTCCTGCAGCAGCAGCAGCAGACTCCCCCGCCATGCCGAGTTATGAATCACATCTGGGGATCTGAAGGCAAGCAGCCTCTCTGCATGAGAGCACTCTGCCCTCTAGTGCCGACTCTTAGCAATAGCAATTCCTAAAACGTTCTGTCGACAACAAACTTCTCTTTTGCTGACGGGTCATTGGAATTTTTAGAGCTGCTGTTTGAACAGAACTTGACAAACCCACTGGGTTTCCACCGGAAGAACAAAATACAGAGCTTCTTAGTTTAGAGAAAACTGGCTTTTCATTCTAAGTTTAGCTTTCCACTAATCACTGTTCTAGTGGTTTCAAGCCTCTATTCAGTCAAAGTGAGAGCTTTGAAGTTGTACTCTGATTTTTTTTATTTTATTTCCCAAACCCATCCGTGATAAACATCCACCAAGACGCATTATTTTCATACACATTTATTGAAAATGCAGTCAAATAGAAACTTTTTTGTGATATAGAGAAGACATGTTTGATAATCCATCTTTGTTAGAGAGAGACAGATTCAGACACATCAAGAGACATAAATTAGTGCAGTTTATACAAGTGACATGCAATAAATAATGGCTCACTACAATTTGACCCAGAAGTACATTTGCTTCCATTTGTACATTACCTACGGAGTTCAGAAGCAACGTCTTGAATCGACACCTCCTCTTTTGATGAGCACAAAAGCCGGTGAAAGGAGCGGACTATCAATTGGTAATACAAAAATAGACCCAGGCAGCATTTCATACTTGGAAAGTTAAAGGACGAAGAGACAGCAAACACGACCGCGCATTTCCTTTTTGTCCGTCCACCCCTCCTTTAGATGCACGGCTCCATCTGAGGCGTTAATCCGCCGTCTTTGTTTGGATCTCTCCTTTGTTACAGAAATAAACCCCTCCGACAAAAGCGTGGCAGACAGCCGCGTGCGTGTGTGGCACAGACTGATGGGGGCATGCGCGTAGCTCTGTGCGAGAGATAGTGAGCGACATTTACAAAAAACATTGTTTTACTTTTTTCTTTTAAAAAAAAAAGTCGACTGGAAGCAGGTTCTGGTGAAAACCTGCATCCTGCTGGAAAGCACTGAGGACAACTGGAACGGTAGCTGCATCAGAGTTGTTCTGTAAACTGTTGTTTTCGGCCGCCCTTCCCTTCAGTAGGGTGAACCAAGCTGCTGTAAGAATGAACTCTGCCACCGAGATCGGCTTAATCTGCTGGCCTGCAGTGCATTGTTTCCTGTCACACCTAATAAATGAGCCACTATAATAATAAAATCACCACTCACTTTTATTCCAAGGCAAAGATGTCTTACTGAACTCATAAAATCATGTGGAATGACCTTACAGACACTATTTGCTTGCGGTATTTACTTCACCATGAGCGGCAGGTCTAACTATGGTTATGCTGATCCCTGTCTCCATGTTCCCCTCTCTTGGTTCAGCAACCGTTGAAGAAGCCCTCGCTGCAGCTCGCCTCTTTGAAAGTCACCGTCAGGCAGTTTACAGTCACGTTCGTCACGATCACTCTCCCGGGACGTGGTGCTTCGTAGGGAACTTTTGGGCGGTCCGACGCCGTCACAATCACGCTCTGATTGTCGGTTCTCACTTCGTCTTTCTTCGGCTCAGAGTCAGAGCAGACAGAGACAGCGTCGCCCATCGTCTTGCCACATCCCTGGACCCTCACTATCACTGATGTTGCGTTCTTTTTCTCCATGGTTGGACTCTCTGAGAAGGCTTCCACGCCTTCCTCTTCCACCCAGTCTGACTTGCCACTTGGGGAAACCATGACTTCTGGTTTGGCCTCAGACACCAAGGTGTTGTCCTCCGATTCGTCGTGTGAATTTGTGTGTCCCTGACTGGTTTCAAAGATCCCTCCGTCCGCTTCATCTGTCCACATGTCCGGGCTGGCAGCCTTTTCCTCCACCTCCGTGTCCATGTCCTGTTCCTCTAAGAACGGAGGAGAGCTGCACTCTGACTGACCTGTGGGAGAAAGCAGGAAAAACATTGGTTACACATAAAGACTCACTTCAGATAAATGTTAGATCAAATTAGATAAACTTCATTGTCCCCAAGGGGCAATTCGATTTCCAGCCAGCAAAGAACAATTACAGATTAAAGAATTACAACAGTAACAAACCACAACATCCATATTGCCACATCAATCAATCAACTCATTGGACAACTGACCATACAAGCTGTCTTCACATCTCTCCTCAGTGGTGCTCTCACATCCAGGCTTGTCCTCCTCACTGGTGCCGCCCCAGTCCTTCTCCACCGGCTCAATTTTCATCTTCTGCTCATGGATCGGCTTGTTGGAAGAGTGTTTTGGGAAGGCTTTGGTCACTCTCTGTCTGTTCCTCCTCCTGGCCCGGCGTCGGCACGCCTGCTCCACGTCCGTGCTCATGGACCTGGTGAGGGACAGGCGCAGACGAGGCGGGGGCTTCTCGTCATCCTTGTGAGCGCTCCGCAGGTCCATGCCAAAAATGTTCTGAAGAAGACGGCGAACGATCAGCAGGGGGAACAATAATCGCTGGAGGTCAAATCTTTCATCAAAATATTTTTACTGATTTGTCATAATTTTATTCTAGCACACATTTGTTTTCTGTGGTTGTAACAGGAATGTAGTTTAGAGCTTTGAGAGGCGATGAAGGAACTCTAGACTAGATCAGTAAGTTGAGGGAGTTAATCAGTTTTTCCTTTTCCGTATCCCTGCTCAGTTTACATAAAATGCTGCATGAGCCTACATTTCAGAAAGCCTTCCTGGAACCTCCTCCATTAATTAGTAACATAGCAGCGAAAGTGATAGTGTGGGAACAGTGTTGCCTTATCTGTTCCAATAAATTGACTCTTTAACGTTATGAGGAACCAGCATCAATGTTTGAAGCTGCTGAAGAACTTAAAACTAAGGATGCAGACAGTTAATCCGACAATTCCGATTAATTGTCAGTGATTTCTTTATTAGACTTCAGCTGTTCTTTTATTTTTATTATTGTATTATAAATATTTAAGCAAATACTGAGATAATAAAGTATACTTCCATATAAAACCTGTTTGGAAAAATCTGATTATACGTAAATGCGAATAAATAAATAAATAAATAAAATATATTTGGCTCAGCAGCCTTTTTAAAATGTAAGAAATCGTTTTCTCAACTTCCTGAAAAAGTTGTTTTATCTGTGAAGGATAAAACACCCTCATAGATCAGCATGTTGCGCAGATGACTAAAAAACAGATTTTACTATTAAAACGCTTGTTTAAAGTTTGAACTTGCGTTAAATACCTAGCTGCAGCTTGTGTTAATGAAAGAAGATACAACAAATGTTTGAGATTCAAGAAAGATGAGTGTCGTTACCCGCAGCACCAGCTTCCTGGGTCTGAGGCCTTTCTTTCGAAAGCTCAGAGATCTGAGCTTCTCCTGACTGCAAGAAGAGAAGATGCAGACAGGAGGGGGAGGTCAGAGAAAAGGAGGCGAGAAAGAAAACTAAAACTGAGAGAGAACAAAAAAAGAGAAACCTAAAATGCTTCCAGTATTACTCACTTCTCTTCGTAAGCCAGGACCAAGAGCGGGTCCAGAATGTTGTCCTCCGGCTCCCAAGTGCTGTACCTGCAAATAGGGAGATAGTTAATGATCGTCTGTTTATCAATGATCTGAGCATATTCTGAAAAAGCTCTTAAGTATATCTGGAAGTGGTGAGGTCTGTGGATGACTCAAGGCTTACTCACTCTGGGGGCCATCCCTGCCATTTCAGTAGATACTCCACATTACCCTGAAGAGAGACACAAAGTGGGGGGAGGGACAGCAGTCAGTGAACCTGCCATTTAAAAGCCTCCCTGTGTTAAACGTACACCAGAGCACAAGAGATTAGGCAGCTGTCCCTTTAAACTGTGGACTGAGGGAAGGAGGAGCCGACAGAGTTTCATATTTTAAAATGAAAACTATGAAAATATGTTCATGATAATTAGAATCCATAAACAATTTAATGTGCAATTACATATTAATATGTGAAATTCTTGTGAAAAAATGTGGATTAAATGTTGAAGCTATATCATGGTTTTCCTTATAACTTATTGTGTGCTGAAGTTGGCTACACAATAATAACACAATCAGTGAGTGCAACTCATCAAATACACCCTGAAACCTGATTGGTTAAGAAGCACACAAGTCAGCTTGATACCTTTATACAGAATGAAGCACTACCACAACAAAAACAACCATGAAGTCATGTGAAACAATTACATTTGCTTTTTGTAAAATTAATATTTCTATTTATTTCCTAAATTAAATTAGCATATAATCATGTATAACCAGACAGATTTAAATTATCATAAGCATGTCTATTTCTGATTTAGTAAAAGCATTTGTTTTCAATGTCGTTTTAAATATGACTACTTTTTGCATTGGATAGCGACCATTGAAAAAAATACTAAAATAACTGCAGCAACACTTTTTTTTAAAACTACACCTGTTATTTTAATGAATTACTTTCATGAGTTCTATATTTGAATTATCTAATGGTCTCTAATTTTTAATTGAACTGTGGAGCTACACAAGAGGGAGGGAAGGTTCGTGAAGTTTCTCTCGTTCTCCACGTTTTCTGCAGGCTGACGTCATCGACAGCGGAGCTGCGTGGCCTCCAAACAGCAGCCCTGCGCTCGCATTGCGATGACGTGCTCGCTCCACGAGCGCCCGTGTTCACAGCGCTGGGGCACTTTCTAGAACATTACACCGGTGGCTTGGATAGGTGGGGCCACGCGGGAACATGTAAACAAGCAATGTTGCGCAACGCTCACGTCCGAAACTGTTATCGGAGGCGACCCTAGTTTGAAATGAATAAAACAGGCAAAAATAAATAAGCTGAAATAAAACGCAAACAAATCCAGCGCGTGTGAGGGACAGCAATGAACGCACAGTATCTTATTACACTATCGTAAACTTTAAAAATGCTCGCTTTATGTTACTTTTTTTTTTTTTTTTGCGCGTTTTTTACGTCATGAGCGTTAAGACGAGCAGAGAGCACCTGTAGCGTCGTGGGGTTAATATAAGTCAGTTTGAATTCACAACAGCTTCTCCGTCGTAACTAAATACGACCAGCATCACGCGGCACTCTGTGATGTTACACAGCATTTTCAGTCCGCGCGCTGGCGTAAATAATATAAACTGCGCAGCAGCCTGCTGGCTGTCCGCTTTTTAAAAGATACACACACCCCCTCTTTCTCCCCCGGTTTACTACAACTGCGTAGGCTCCAAAACATGGTCATGCCGCAGCAGCTCAGCCGCTGCACAGGACGCCACTCGAGAAACTTCGGCGCAGTTGCATTAAAATAACGACTTAGTTTTAGTGTTTCCTTTACGTAAACCACAGCCTTGTGTTATTATTGTTGACGGCGCGAGGACATCGGTTAGTACATTGCATTTGCATAAAACAGCAGGATTAATATTAGTATTATTTCAGGGAGGATTTGTTTATAAGCAGGAATGTTTCTTACCTTTCTGATTCTCTTCTTTGTAATTGACTCAACAGCGAACACTTGCTCTCCAATAGATGACAGTTCCATCGCGACGGTCCAAACAGGACGCAACTGGATCCCTGCTTGTTTACTTCCCGACGTGCGGAAATAAAGTAGTTACGGGGGGAGAAGGAGGACGGACGAATAATAATAAGAATAAGAATAAACAAACAGAGCGCTAAGTGTTTTTCCACAGCTCCCTCCGAGAGTCCTAGTTTTTTTCCGCTAAGCTTGTGCGCCTCCCCTCGCTCAGAAACTCCAGCCGCTCTCCTACCTCACTTTTTAAAATCTGCGACACATCAACGCTGGACAGCGCGCTGCTTTAACGCGGGCGCGCCCCCTTTCTGTTGCGTAGAGGGCCAAGCCCCCAATGAGCGTGCCCGCGGAGGAGGCGGGAGCGCGCGGAAAATTAGAGCAGAGTGCAGAGGAGGGACAGAGGAAGATGAGCGAGGAGGAGGGTCATACAGACAAGGTTACCGAGGGATTTAAAAAATATATATATATGGATATTCTAAAAACAGAACGTTTTCATTTTACTTTCAAGGCTTAATTGTAAATGTAGTTTCACTCAAACGTAATAAAAACCCCAACAAAAACGTTTATGCATTCCTTTCCTCCCAGATATGTGAGTGATTCTATAATTGCAGATACATTTGATGTCCAGAGTCATTATTTTTGGTCTGGCATATTAAAATATTTCAATTTTTAAATGTTTTAGTAATTTATTACTCATTTTAATAGATCATAATATTTAACAAGTAAAAACATTTAAGTAAATACATTTAAAATTGTTTTATATAGCTGAAAAACCAAGACTTCTTGTTGTCCGAGTTGGGTACTGTCTTTTTTATTAACCTGAAAAATGATGCAAAAACCTATGTTTTATTATTTTTCTTTGGTGAATTTGTTTTTCTGTCTTTTTTTAAACTGCCTAAATGGTCAATTTAATAACAACATCACATTAAATTAACTCAAAATACCCTTATTTTTGAAAAAATATGTGTCCGAGAATTTTTTGTCAACTCTGTTACCATATGGTTTTGTCCCTGTAAATCTGTGAAATTGCCTTCTACGGCTATATAAACTGCATAAAATTAACTCATTTACTTTTACTGATAAGACCTCAAACACACAGAGGTCTATGTGCCATTCTCTGGGAAATATTTTAGTCTAAAAATCACAATCACCAGGGGTTATTGTTTTCAACGTCAATCTTGTTACCAAAGTATCATGAGAAAAATACCACAGATTTTTGATCAGAGACAAGTTTATTTAATGGTTTTTAAACCATTATCTCAGTGGTGTCATGTTTTTTCAGAATTTCTACTCACAAGTGGAGTTTTTAATAAAAATGTTTGAAATTGTCAATTCTGTTACCATCAACTCTGTTACCAAATGGGGTAACAGAGTTGACAGTAACAGAGTTTTCAGTTCTAAATTATTATGGTCCTGTCAGTTCTGTTACTAACACCATCTCTTTTAGGTAACAGAGTTGACTTGTTTATGACATACTTTCACAAAAAAAAGAAAAGAAAAAAAGGAAAACTGTTGTCCAGAGCACCATATACATTGTTGGTTGACTTCTGCTGTGATTTAGTATTACTGACCAATTTTATTTCTAAAAGAATGATGGTTTTCAATGAGTTTTAATGAAAAACGTTTGACCCTATGCGAATAACTCTGTGAAAAGTTGAGTATCTTTTGATTTTTTAAAATGTATTTTTAAGTAAAACATCTCAATTTAAAGTATTTGGGTAGTAGGACACTTGGTGTAATGGAATAAAAATATTTTAGTCTGCTAGAATTTATTGTTTTTTTTCACTCACTGTCTATATTGTCCGTAACAGAGTTGACATAACATACCGCAAAACATACGTTTTTTCTGAGAAAAAATTATAAAATATGTAGCTAATGTTTGGCAATTACAGATTTTTTTAAAGTTTAATGCCTTTTCAATAGACTACCTAAGAAACTTTTTAAGAAATTATTATTTTTTTTTTTTGTCATTTCTTGAAGTGCCAAATGTATCTCCAATTATAGAATCACTCATGTACACCCCGATCAAAATCAAAATAATTTATTTTCACTGTAAGAACGTCTGAAATACCTCCAAATAATTTAATATATTGGTGAGGCAATTTAACCAGACACCTAAAAGTTATAATTAAGTTATTCATTCATAAAAAATAAAAAAAATTATTCATGCTAAATTATTATTACCCCAAACAAAAACTTTGAAGTAAAACTCAAGCATTTCTTAATTTATTCTTTACTTTTTGTTTTTAGATTAAGCTATGTTTTATGACCATCTAATTAGAAATCAGTGACTTTGCCAAGTATAAATATGATGATGACAACAAAGAGGGGTCATGAGGGGTAACAGTTCATCCCTATAAATATGCTGACCTGTTTTGGAAAAGATATCAGGAAAAAAATCTGTCCTACCATCAGGGATTTGGAGTTTGCCTAAAACTACTGGGATTATAAACCCATCTAATAAATAAAAGAATATGTGAAAAAGCACCTGACATCCAGTGATAAGTACAGAGGAGGATGTGTAATGCTGTGGGCCTGTTTCTCTTCTAGCAGCTCTGGGAACCTTGAAAATAGAAAATGGGATATTGCTGGGTATTTAAACAAGATAACCAATATTTGCTTTACACAGTTTTACCAGAGGTGCAAATAAATCTGTCCAACACTTTATATCCACATGTTAACCTGTCATATGGCAAACGTGAAGGTAAAGAGAAATAATGTCTTTATACGCTGTATAGCATCCATACTAAGACTTATTTTAGGCTTCGCATTTAGAAGAATCAATTTCACTTTGAGCTCTGCATCAGAAATCCAACAGGATTATTTATGCGTACTAATCCTTCAAAAATACAGAAGAAGCAGATCGTATCCGTCCCGTCGCGGCTTCAAAGGCCGATCAGTGAGCGACGTGAGGCGGCGGCGCAGTGAAAGCGGCGTACTCGCTGAACTCGTCAGCCAAACAGTGAGAGCTCATGTATTTTTATGTAACACAAGTGAAGCCGGCAAAGATCAGAATCTGCAATGGAAATGACAGCACTGCCTCACTTCTTCTTCTTCAGTGGAAATGCCCGGCTCATGCAAGCGTGTTTGATCCAAATATGGAACAAAAACGGGTAAAGAAACAAAAAAAAAAAACAAAAAACTGACCAAAAGTCTCAAATATATCCCACCCAGAGATACGAAAGCTGGAATTCAGGGTGGCTCCAACAAGGACTGCTTTTCACAAACACTTTTTCAACTTAATACGTGATTTGTAACTCATCCGGTTTCCTCGGTAGGATCGTGTAATGAGGTTGTAAGATAAGAGCCGGAGTGAGGCTCCCTGTTATCTTCCCTTTCGGGGTTTTTGTGGCTGGCTTCACGTAAACCTCCCTGTGACTCGGCACATGTACGCCGTTCGCACTCGCTGCCCATGGTTCACGGTCTCCTCTGCACCTGGAAAACTCGCATCACTTACGGGCACCGGATGTCATGGTAACTGTTGTTATGGAGACTGCAGAAAGACGAGGGTGACGCAGCAGGAAGAGCCGTCCAACAGCTGAGGGATGAAAACGGATTTATTGACCTCTGACCCCCTCCCCCTAAATTTGAGCCTAGAGCCGGATCTGCAGTGGCTCAGTCAAGACGTTTCCGTCTGAACAGCTGATGCCTTCAGGGAAACCAACAAAAAAAAAAAAAATGCGTTTTTGTGCTTCTGGTTGCCTTCATCATGGAAAAAAAAAGCTCTTGCACCACAGTTTGCAATCTAAAGACAAGAGGCATAAACAAAGCGAAGCCTGGTGACCTCACCATGACATCATCAGTCATTCTGGAAACAAACCACAGGGATTAAGAGGAACTTTACTCATGTCTTTGCAGGCAGAGTTGGCAATTAGAAACTTAGAGTCTAAATATATACATGCGCCTTGAGGCAACTGTATTCATTTCCTTTATAAAACTGTTATTTTTATAACATCTCCTGGTCAGCAGTGCGGCATGATTTCATATATACGAGACATTGCTAGACGTTGCTCTGGGTTTATTTCAAATGTAATTGAGAAAAGAAAGGGAGAAACGGTGCTTTTCCTGAGTAGAGAAAAAAAGCACAGAGATAACAGAAGTCTGGCTCTAGACCTGCAGAAAGAGAGAAAACAAAACCAAGAAACCGCAGTAACAAACAACCTATGCATATATGATGACAAAGTAACATCATTGGGCAGTACACTGCTGTATGTGGTAGCACAAGATGTATTTAGTGGCAACTGCGGCCCAACTGAGAGCGTGTCTGACAAACACCTGAATCTGTGTGTGTTTTAATTTCCTTTAGCAAGTTTCAGACGATCTAACAATCTAAGCTTTTTTTTTTTTTTTAATCCCAAGAAAAACTTGTGGCATAATTTTGGCTGGTTATTTGACCTCCCTGCTTGTCAGAAAGGTAGAACTCATGAAAACTGGTTGCTAAATAGATATACTTCATGTTGTGGCCATTCCAGATGCTTAATATTAGCTTACTTTATTAATTTCAAAACCAATTTTGGTTTGGGATGGCAGTCCCATTTGAACGCCAAACTGGCAATTTTCAATAATCTTACCCGAATTACCTCTTTCAGTTAAAATAATATCAGGTAGAATGGTCAGGAAGAGCCCAGGAACCACCAGATGCAATGACTCCTGCTTTATATTAGCACACAATAACTAACCCTGTTTTAAAACTGATAGCCATAAAAAAGATTTTAGCGTTTGGAAGAACCAGGTGAGGCTTTAAAACCACACCAAGCCTTCAAGCATGGAGGTGACAGCATCATGCTGAGGGTCTTTGAAGCTGCCAGTTTTACACAAGTTCGTTTGAATGAGAAAGGCAAAGCACAACCAGCAAGTTCACTTAAACATGAACAGGACAACATTCCCAAACATTCATCAATGCTGGTTTTGGATTCAATGCAGCATCTGGAAAGCTCTGGGCCCAAGATTTATTAAAAAAATATGTGAAAGAAAATATGGAAATTCAAATAAAATCCACCAGTTAAGATATGAAGAGTGCTCAGATTTCCACCAGAAAAAAATAAAAAAATAAAAAATAAAAAACGCAATTTGCAGGAACATTTATCCGAATGAGTACATTAGAGGTTGCATGAGTAGTTTTGATTCTAAGTTGATTAAAAAAAAAAACTCACATTGCTTTAAAAAAAAATCTAATAAATGTATTTACTTCATGACGCAATAAGCTCCAACATCTTCAAAATCCCTAAATAATAACGATATCCACGCGTCCGTAAGCTTCTACGTATTCAGCGTCTTAAACGATGAAAACTGGTACGGTGATGCCGGGCAAGTAATTCTGCACAATGTCAACAAACAAAAGAGAAATGATTCCAGTAATTCCTATCGGGACATGCGGGAATTTCGCTGCACCCTGAGGTGTTTTTTTTTTTTTTTTTTCCCCCCTCCTGCCTTCTCCGTCGTCACCCTGCAGGGATGCAGCGCCTTTTGCTTCCCGTAAGTGAAAGCTTATTCCCTGCGATTCAGAGAAACAACACGACCCATCACATGACTCGTTATCTGCCTGGATACTCCTGTAATCGCAGAGTTGTAGGAGCCGGTGCGGCGAGGGGAAAAGGAAAGGGAAAAACAACACGGACTCCCACCCACGTTATGACTCACGCATGAGTCATCAAACGTGCCAGTAAAGGCGATCGCTGCATATTCTCAGGAAAACCAACACAACTACAGAGAGCTGTAAAACATTACAGCCTCCCGCTGCCGGGAATCTTTTTTATTTTATTTTTTTTATTTACTTCCCTTTCTTTTTTCTTTTGTTTTGTTTTGGTTTTGTCTCTGATTCCCGAGGTGCTTCCACTTAAAGTGGATCTCCGATGAAGTGAAGAGGGAATCATTTCTGGGAATGCCAGCCAGACCCTGACACGAAATTTAAAGTTCCACGGAAATCCGCCTAGACTTTTAAGATGCGGCGCAGTTGCAGAAGAGTTTGAAGCCCTGCTTTTAAACTTCCCTACTTTTTTTTTTTATAACTAATTTTTTTATAACTTAAATGTGTTTAGTTGTAGATTTTATGTGACGGTATTCAACCACTGCAGTTATCGCTGCTTCCAAAACCGGGTAACACTTTATTTGAAGGGGGGTGAATAAGACTGTCATAACACTGTCATAAACATGACATAACACCTGTCATAAACATCAATACGTCTTCATGAATATTTATGACTGTTGTCATAAAGCGTCATTCGGTAAATTATGACACTTTTAATACAAAGTTGACATTATTCAAAATATCTTTGACAACTTGACATTAACCAAGAAATCATTACTGTTTAAACTTTACCTTTAATAACATAAAGTTACCTAATTTTTAAAGTGCAATCAATAATACTTTTATAACAAATTTATATCAGTAATGATTTCTTGGTTAATGTCACGTTGTCATAACAAAGACATTTTGAATAATGTCAACTTTGTATTAAAAGTGTCATAATTTACCGAATGATGCTTTATGACAACAGTCATAAATATTCATGAAGGCTTATTCATGTTCATGACAGGTGTTATGTCATGTTTATGACAGTGTCATGACAGCCTTATTCAACCCCCTTCAAATAAAGTGTTACCCAAAACCGTCAGTAAGATAAAAAAAAACAAAAAAACAAAAACAAAAAAAACGTCTTTATAGAATCAAATTTCAAGCTTTTCCACTGCTTCTCAGTTGGGTTTATGTCTGGACTTTGACTGGGCCATTCTGGCACATAAATGTGTTTTATTCAAAGGCGTTTCATTGGAGTTTTTAGGGTGGTTATCTTTCAGCATAAAGATAAGCCCAAAATTATTCCAACATACTGGAAGATTTACGATCATCATCACTAAACCAAACAATCGATGTCTGACAGGACATCGATTGTCCTGTCAGACAATCGATGTCTGACATCGATTGTCCTGTCAGACAATCGATGTCAGACCTCGAGCTGACAGAAGCCCGAGGTCTTCTGTCAGCTCTCATTGTGTCACTTGTTAGGTCAGCGTCGGGCAAACTTCTTGACCCTGACTCGGTACCCGAGTTCATGTTTAGGACTTCCCTGCAAAACATGTCCAGTCATTAGTCTCATAGAAACCAGATACTTAACATACAAAACTATGGATATATTTTTCTCTCTCTCGTTTATTTAAAAATGCAAAATATTTCACATGCCATTTTTAATTAGAAATGTAAAAAATACATATATATTATTTATTATCCTTGAGGGATGCCTGTATCCCTCAGGCATCCTGAGGGATGCCTGTATCCCTCCCTGTATGCATACAGGGATGCCTGTATGCATCCCTGTATGCATACAGGCATACAGGGATGCCTGTATGCCTGAGGGATACAGGCATCCCTCAAGGATAATAAATAATATATATGTATTTTTTACATTTCTAATTAAAAATGGCATGTGAAATATTTTGCATTTTTAAATAAACGAGAGAGAGAAAAATATATCCATAGTTTTGTATGTTAAGTATCTGGTTTCTATGAGACTAATGACTGGACATGTTTTGCAGGGAAGTCCTAAACATGAACTCGGGTACCGAGTCAGGGTCAAGAAGTTTGCCCGACGCTGACCTAACAAGTGACACAATGAGAGCTGACAGAAGACCTCGGGCTTTTTACCAAAACCAAAAGCAAAAGGAAAAGGAAAAGGGAAAGCACCACAGACTCAAAACAGTTTCTCCAAAAAGCAAAGCCCCGCCCGTGTGCAAAAACAGAAACGTTTATTGTCGTCAACCAGGTTTAACATGGAAAAAAACAAACAAACAAAAAAAAACGCAGAGCTGACCATTCCTTTTTAATGGCTTTGTGTTTTAATAAACGCTTCACGCGTCAACAAAAATAGCACAACAGTAAAATACTTCTCTGCTTTAAATTATTACAAATAAAAGTCGGCATTTTAAATAAAGTATAGCTAATAATTACACCTTCTGACAGTCGTGACCTGCCTTGCCTTTTATTAAACACACTTTTATTTCCGTGGCTGTATGTGGGGAAAGGACTCATCCGATCCAAGGCCAGCAGAGGAAAACAAACAATTAACTTGCTGAGCATCTTCCGAGTTGCCGTGGTTACAAACACCTACAAGTTTTTAAAAGTAGTCCAGCACCCTCGTGGCGCTGGGTCTCTCCCTGGATGTTTCCCTCCGGCAGTAAAAGAGCCTCGACTTAACAGTTTGACTTTAGCGAAACTGGCTTAAATTCCTCTTTTTAAGAGTTCAACATGCATCTAATTTTGGTTCTGATTATTGCTCTCACAAGGTGAACTTCCACCCCCCTCTGTCTTTCCCTCCAGGGGTTTAAAAAAAAAAAAAAAAAAAAAGAGTTACGTATGACACATGAAACTTTGAGCTGTCCTCCTCAGAGCGGAGATCGGATCAGAGCAGAACAAACAGAGAGCTTTAGTTTCTCTTTCATGCCTTTGTTCAGAGGCGCAACTCTGCTCTCTCAAATCTGTTTACAGCCGTTGGTCCTGCAGTCGAACCTGTTTTCACTTTACGGGAAGCCGTTGCGAAACTAGACAGAGAGGACGACTACCTGCTGCGAAGAGGGACTTGATAAACACGCTCGTTATCGTCCGCCGCAAAAGCAAAACCAGTTGCGCCTCGGCGACGTCACGGCGCTCTGGAGCCGATTGGTCACCGCTGAGGGCAGGTGACGCGGGTGTGTCCCGGCATGTGGCAGATGCCGCAGGTCCGCGGTTTCCTCGCAGCGGGAGGTCTGCCGGCGGCGCCGTCTCCCGCCGTCTTCCTCCCCTTGTTCCCTCCGTCTCCGCCGCCGTTAAATCCGTTAAATCCTCCACCGAATCCGCCTGAGACGAGGCAGGAGACATGGAGAAGTTTGATTTTGCTGCTTGACTAAAAAATGTTAATTGTAATCTATCGAGTAATGCCTTACAGAGGCTGATTATATGTGGTAGAAATATTTAAACTATGCAAATTCTTTCCTCCACTCCACAATTATGCAAGACTGTAGCAATAAATCAATTAATCGCATGACAAATTAAAATTACATTTGCATGCTTGATTGTTTGTCTCTGTTGTTTAATTTTTTCATTCTGGATATTTAAAATATCTTCTAGCTAAATGTTAATCAGAAATTAAAGTTTATTGACCTTTGAGAGAGCGTACTTGCATTATTGTGCCACTACCTCAAGCTGGACGATACGGCAGAAAAACGCATCGTCCGATATAAGTGTTTCACACCAGTCAATATCGATAATTATGGAGTAGTTTTTTGTTTTAAATATCTGAAATGTTGCCAAACTGGTGGCGTGACGTTTCATGTTTTTCCACATTTTCCTCTCCAACTGTGCTACTTATTTTCTCCCCCATTATTTATTTCTACATCTATTTTTACGTCATTGTGTCATTATTAGGCACAATGACGAAGCATGAAACTGCTGCTGCAAGGTACTGAACAGGTTGTTGCTAGGCAACCAAAGAGCGAGTGACTTAGTTAGCAGTCTCCTCTGCCTACATCCCCCAGAATGCTGTGCGGTTCTGGATCGGAGTTCAGTAAGATTCAGTAAAATCTATTCATATTGATCACATGTCGATCAATATTATTGATTTACTGCCCAGCTCTACCGTTGTCAATATATCATTTGAAAATGATCTCAAAACAACATTATCATTTTTTTTTGTTGCTATAACTTCTGGGACAATTTATCGTCCAGCAAAACTTGTTGTTGTGACAGGCCTGCGACTGTGTGTGTTGATATATGACAAAGTACCACTACATAAACTGTGTTTTGTTGTTGTAACATGACAAAATGTGGAAACATCCATGGTGTAAATAATGGCTTTTTGTAAGGCACTGTTTATTGTAAGCATGTTTAGTCTCAAGGCTTTTTTAAGAGCCCAGACTGTAGTGTGAGGCAAAACGCTTTAGGCTCAACAAATTAGTTTCCGTCTGAAGTGCTACACGTCCATGAACTTTGGTTTACTGTGTGTGTGTGTGTGTGTGTGTGTGTGTATCTGATGCAGGACTAATTTCAGTTTCACATTTAGCAAACTGAAACTTTTAGGGAAATTTTCTGCATGACTTCTGTCTCATTTTGATAATAGATGCTATTTAGATCAAGATCAGATTAATCTTAGGACACATTGGGAAATAAAGCTGCAGATTTATAATACCAGTTACTAATCCTGAAAGTAGAACTGTGTGTGTGTGTGTGTGTGTGCGTGCGTGTGTGTGTTTGTGTGAGCCCTGCCTGGTGGAGGTACGTTCTCGTCAGCCCACTGGAAGAAGCCGCACTGCTGGTCTCTCGGCTTCCCGCAGGTGTGGAACATGCGGCCCTTGTTGGGGCCGTCCTTCTGCACCGTGCGGGTCACGGCGTTGTCGTTGCAGTTGCACACGGTCTGCCCCACGGCGCCCGAACCACGCCCTCTGCCGCCTCCGGGCGTGTTCCCGAACCCCAGCACGGCCCTGGGAGCCTGAGGAGACCTCTGCGCCGACAGCGGGGGCCCTCTGCTCTGCGGCGGTGCCCCCTGCTGACTCGGCTGATCCGCCCACAGGAAGAAGTTGCAGGCCCCGGAGTTGCACTTGTAGAACTGGCGGCCTTGGTTGGGGCCGTCTTTGCGCACCGTCAGGAGGAGCGCGTCCTGGCCACAGTTGCAGACGATCACGTCGCCGCTGGCTTCCACGTGGACGCCGCTGCCACCTGGTGGCGGTCTGGGCTGGGGGGTCCAGGCGGGAACAGGAGGCACGGAGGGTCTGGGCAGTGGCGGTCTCGGGGGCCTCGGAGGCGGAGCATCATCTCCATCCCCCGGTCCTCTGCCTCCTCCTTCTCCTCCTCCTCCTCCTCTGAGGTACTTGAGGTCCAAAACCTCTCTGAGCGTCTCGTCACAGCCACCAATGCAGCCGACGAATTCCAGAGGCATCATGGGAGGAACGCTGCCTCTGCGGAACTTAAACTTCAGCCTGAAAAAGTCGGGAAACACAAATTCAGAGAACCGAGCCTACAGAGGGAGCAAGTGAGAAGAGAGAGGTGCGGTCGGTGGCCCTGAAGTGCAAACCACTTCGACAAATCACTAAGCACAACTTAACATATTGTGTTAAATACACAACATATTCAAAAACACGACGGCATTAACAAAACGGAAACGGCAGATCTGAGTGGGAAACCTGAGACATCTCTGGTTGGACAACACTTTAGTGCGTTTGTTAGCCGAGCTGCGTAGCTTCGTAGTTTGTCTTGACTCAAAATATTGTTGGATAGCGGCAGCTGCGTTTGTATCACCGGTGATGTTCATAGTTTCAACAAACGGCAGAATAATTTCCAACTCTTAAGCCAAAAGTGGAATCGTCCAATCAGAGATAAGACCTACCACTTCCATTTGTGTTTTTTAATTTGTATTTGTGCTTAATCAATGTTGTCGTGTTTTTGAATATGTTGTGTTTTTAACTTTGTAGTTTAGTGATTTGAAAGGTCTACAGCCGTTACAGTTAAATAACCGACTTGAACAAAGTAAACTTCGTCCTTGAAATGAAGAGACAGACTAACTTTTAAACAAATAATAATTAGGAAAGTTGGTTATGAAACGCTACGGTTTCATTTTGCTCAAAGTATAGAATGAAAAAAGAACCCCACTGCACACGGTTTTCAAATTATTATTATTACTTTTTACAAATAATAATCAGAAAAGTGCAACTAATCATTTCAGCCGTACTGAGAAGGTCAAAGCTTCTGACATATTTTTATGACCTAATCCCACTTTAGACTGGATTTTATCAAGATGTATCAAAGTAGAAGGGGTCTAAACACAAATGCACACCACACTTTTCAGAAAATCTGTTGTAACTAGTTCTGCAATGCGCTACTAATGCCTACAATAGCTTAGATAGCTAGATATTTTTACATATTTAGGACAAAAGAAAGAGTAAACTATCATCAAGAGGAAAAACTTGCACTTTATTCTCAAAACCGTCCTTGATAGAATTAAACAGCAGCCTAACGAGGCCTTAATACACTATTAATAATTAATAAATATTATTAGAATCATAATCTGTGAAAAAAATGGGCCCCTCTTCCTTCTTCCAGAACTCACTCCCAGTGCCAACTAGAAACAACCAATCAAAGCTAAGATGAGGGTCTTGCGCTGTCAATCACAATCTCATGTGCCAGCTAGCAGAGCCCGTTGTGAATGCTAAGGCTAGTTAGGTGATAAACCATTAACTGGTTTACCAAGGATGAACTCAAAGTCCTTCTTTTCAAAAAGTCTCTATTAATGTCAGGCTTTTTTGGGATTCATGTTTTTTTCTTAAAAAGAAAACAACATTTTAATAAATCTTTTTCTTCCCACAAATTTAATGCAAAATTGAATAATTAATTCTAAAAGATTACATCAAGACAAAATCCAGATTAAATGAATTATTCTTTCAGAGTAGTTCACATTAGGTGTTAAGAGATGAAAAGGTTTGAATACGGTGACATTTTAAATGGTTTGTTGTAAGAGTGACAGCACTATTAATCACGTTTGTATTTTAGTTTCAGTTTTGCTACTGAATATTGTTTTAGCTGCATTCCGCTTTGCAAGTGTTCAATTATTTAAGAGTTTTGTTCCAGAATCAAGAGGAACGATTTAACCAGATCTAATTAATAAAAAACACACACAGAACTATTAAAACTGATCCTCCTGAATGTTACTACATACACAAACATGATTTATGCTTAATGATGTTTGTTTTTTTGGGTCATAGCGATGGAGAACCACCACAGTGGGGGGGCGAAAGGGGGAGGGGGACTTGAACTGCAGCAGCCACGTTCACAAACGATGCTAAAACGGACCCGGCCTGTCGATTTCTCGGCCGGTACCGGCTGCAGCCAGTCAGAGACGCGCAGCAGGATGAGCGGAGCGGCGTTCTGACCCGGACCCAGCTGGGGACGGACAGAACTTATCCAGAAAGTGATTGGGAAAAACAACACAGCTTTGAGAACAAACGGCAAAGCTCAACTTTAAGCTCCGTGAAGCCCGGTTGCTATGGTAACCGGAGCTGGTGTGGAGCACTTTGGCTGACTCGGAGCGAGCGTGCCCTATATTTGGACCGAGCCGAGGCCGGTGCTCAGGGGGTTAACGCCTACTAGTGCAAACAAGAGTTTAGACGCGGTTCTTGCAGCGGAGAGGCTGCCGACGGCTCCAGAGTTTCACCGAGTCGTCGCCGCTGTCGCCGTCGTTGTCGTCATGGTTCGGAGGAAACTCAAGGTAGCAGAAGTCACTACTGAGAGATTTTGTTTCCACAGAACATTAGTGTAGTTCCTGCGGGGTTGAATCGTGCTGAGAGGAAAATGATGAGTCGTGTTTCCTCCGAAACATCCAAGCAGTGAAATGGAGTGGAAATCGTTTCTTTTCTTTTTTTTTTTTAAGCTCTTGTTAAGCAACTTTTAAGAGAAGCAAACAAACGCCGAACAAATACTGTAAAAAAACAAAAACAAAAGTGCTGCAGAAATGATCGCTTTCTGCTTTTTGTCACGATTAAAACTGATAAATTTGAGAATTAAAAGAATAAAAATAAAACTCCACCCTCCCGGTAAGTCATGTATTAACTGTAGCTGCGTTTTCATCACAGTTGTGTGCAAAGCTTTGTCGCTATTCAATGTCGAAAAAACACAATTTTGGCGTTTCTGTTAAATCGGAAAGGTAAGTGAAATCACACATGAATAGGTTTGCTCACATGATAAGTCATTAAAAAAACATCCCCACCCTCCTGTCACTTCCTGAAGTCTTGTTTGTCTTTTTCGCCAGTAGTAACATCCGGTTGTTGGTCACATGACTCGCGTGGCGCGAAATAACGTTCAGACTGCAGTTTTGTGAAATACGCTAATCTCAATACGGCCGACAAACCTCATCATTCAAAACATTATTCTTAAAACGTGAGGTTTTTTTTAATTGACATTTTTTCAATAAAGCAAAATTATTTTAGTAATTCCAATTATGCGCAATTGTACGGTCAATATAAATACAGCTACAGTCTAATCCATTCTTTACCTTAAACTTTCCTACATTCTCCTGAGCTTAATTATGAATAAACAGAAGCTGTCTGACAACATGAAGTAGGCTGCTTCATAATGCCCCAATCTCACTACAGGGTTTCCCCCAGTGTTTTATAAGCCTGGCGGGCCACCAGGCTTTACGTGTGCCCCCACCAGGCTAAGCTCTGCTTATTTATTCAAGTCTTTTTAAAATGTTTGCATTTTTTAAGACTTTATAGTTGGTGTTCAGGTGTTAATCTTCCAATAACACATGATTATCAAGTGATATTTTCAAATTTCCTGTCAACTTTAAACATTTTTAATTCAAAAACACGACGGACCGCTGGATGAATGACTGGCCTAGCGCCCGACCACCGGGCTTAACAAGTTTTCTGGGGGATACCTTGCACTGCATTAAGAACAGATGAGGAAGAAATTAACTGAAATCTGTCTAGAAAGGGGTGACAGGAAGTGAACATTTATATGATCGGCCAGCCGACCAGAATTACTCATCGATGAGGTCACAAACAAACCCAGAACATCAAGTGATAACTTTCTGAGCTGCTTCTGTTGTCTAATCAATTAATTGGTTGTTTAAATGTTGTTTGTTTTCAATCAAATTCAATCAAATTTTATTTGTATAGCACATTTCAGCAGCAAGGCATTTCAAAGTGCTTTACATAATTAAAATAAA